GAGCTCGGCACTCATCAGTGAGTGCCCATTATCCCGATGGTAACGCAATACTTTTTGCTGTTCCTGGCCGTAGCAGGGGTTTTCATGGCTCGGGCTCGCCGAGTAAGCTGGCCTCCTCTGATTTGTCGAGGATTGCGGATACGGACACATTCGACGAGTATATTGGGTCCGTCGCGATCGCGACGAGGACAGGAGCATAGGACTTTTTCTGCTCATAGCGGGTTTTTTTCCTTTTCGCTGATCGGCAGATCTCCTTTGCGATCAGCTCGCCTTTATCTTCCCGACAGGCGTACTACTGGATGTGCCGTGTGTCGCGACGACGGTGCTCTGCCAGTGAATTCTCTATCCGGAGATGCTTTTCTGCCAGCTATGGAACCTGGTGAGGAAATGTTGTCCTCAGCCTGCAGTTCTTTCCACAGGTCGGTTTGCGGGCGAATCCAGCTATTATAGAGTTCGGATGGACTCTTCTGGTGCGTGAGCCACTTTGTTGAGCTCCCTGTGGAAACATCAATATAAGACTGCAGGGATTCGTCTCTCTCTTGCCTTATATTGCTGAGGTAGCTCAAAGGCATTGAAAATTTTCGGTGTGGCTTGGAAATGCCGGAGGAACGTTGTGTCTCATCTGAGCCCACGAACCGATAGATCCCGCCGGAGCGACCTAAACCAACGCTTGGCATGGAGAGGTCAGTGTCACGGCCAAGCAGCGGCTACTCGCAAGGTCCGAAACCTGGTGGAGCTCCATCAGGTCGTTGAACCATATAAATGATCCTGCGGATCGTAGTTTCCATCGAACGGTCGCATATCTGGCATTCTGAACCCTGGTGGAAGCGGAGCAGCCAATATTCAGGAGAAAACGGGGATGTAGAGGCGACCTTGTGCCTGCTCGTTTTGCTACTCCTTTAGCCTATCCAGAGCTCGCTGGGCTCCTCAATCTGCGGTAAGGAGTCAAATGGGGGTCGTTTTCACCCATGCGAGCCCGGCCCTCTCGGTTGCGGTTCGGACTGTTCGGAGGTCGGATTCCTCCTCACCTCGGCTCCGCATTTCCAGCCGCGCTCGACACACGCTGACTAGAGACGCGCGAAGGTGGTGGATAACGCGGGGCACTTTCACGACCCTCGCGGTGGTATGAACCGCCCCGCGAGGTGTGTTGGCCACCCGCATGAGAACGACGGGGATCGTCCTGCTGGTGGTGATCGGAATCATCGCGCCCAGCATTCTCGCTCGGGTTTGGTTGCGACGTGGCGTGGGACAGCTCGGGATCATTTTTCGCCGAGTCTTATTTTGCCGATATCCTGCTCGGGCGCCTTCTGTACTTGCTGGCCCTTGGGAGCTCGGAGGCTGTTTTTTTGCCACTTGCTTACCCTTGCGCTTTCGCGCTGCAGTGCTCGCAGGCACGTGCTATTTCCCTTTGCCGTGCTTTCGCGCGCTTGCAGGTGTTTTTGGCGGTTGCACCGCACCGGCTGTCGCGGACGACATGCCTTGGTCCAGCGGTCCAACCTGGTTGACCGTCTGGAGAGTATTTCGAACCTCTCCAGGTAGCTTCGAATGACAGGGTCCAGTTGCGGCTTTGGGGTATTCCCAACAGCATTTTGCGAAACTGGAGGTGCGTTGGAAGGGTTGCCCCTCGGGCTGGGGGGACTCCTTCGCATGTTGATTCCCCTGCTCCGTTTCAGATTGCGGCCATTGTAGCTGTCAACCATAGTGTCCAAGGTTTTCCTGATGAAGGATAGACGCTAAATCAGGCCCTCCTTCTAGCGCCAAACTGTTGATGCTCGATTTGCGCACCAACCAATTGTCACTTGAGTGACACTGTTTTATGAATTTTATGCTCGTGACAAGGATGCCTCCACAGAAATCAATGAAAAGGGACTTTTTAAGTGGTTCGGATTGCTAAGGTAGCAAATCCTACGTCCACTGATTTGTATTGATGTTGTGTGGGTCAGGTCGCTAAGCGGACTGACGTACAAGAGAGTTAATAAAAGAACTTTGTTCTTACTTTTTTACAAAGAGAGAGTTATCTCTGGGTAATGAATGAACCAACCCCCTTAATGGTGAGGTTTTCTTCTTTTATCTCGAATGGAAGCGTGTAATCATCATTAAATCTATGGGTTGGTGTGATTGTCAGCACGTCATCCATCTTCACGTCCCGTTTCCCTTTTTCCAAGCTGACTTTGCATGACTTGCTGCAGAGAGATGGACGGTGTGTAGCTCCATGTTTATTCGCAGGTCTGACGTGCGCACATTGTCCTCAGGGGCAGGTTACCCTGACTTGACTCCTTCCACGTCAGCTCTTTATTTTCCCGTGCATAACAATATAATAAAATAAAATACATGTTCATTGTTGGCTGAACCGAGAAGCATCATTTATAAAGGTAAAAGGCGAATCTGGTATGGATTTTAGTAAAAGATTTTGAATGTGACTAAAACCATACAAGTACAATTATACTAGGTAGAACTGAGCATTGTGAAATATAATGAGTACAAAGTGTACAACGCACTCTATTGCCAACTCTACCCTTTCTTCAAGCACGTGTCCTGCACGCTTCCCTTAAATACGAGCTCATCGATTTCGTAACCTTACCAATACTATGTCACTTGGCCGATGGACATGGTACTCCTATTTAATATAATTTGTGCTCATAGATTTTGTGCTTATCGAGATCTTCAATTCTTAAAAAAGGCCTCAATTAAGTGAGTTAACTGCTTTAAGCCCTATTTAATATAATTTAAAAAAATATTATTATTATTATTATTATTATTATTTAATCTCTATTTAATAATTTAATTGAATGTTATTCTTTCTAATAAAAACTCTGATGAACTATGATTTTCATTGATAACTTTAAGTTGAATATAACTTTTTCCAATCTAAATCTGCTTTTAAATATAATTATCTATATGTTTAATTTTAACTTATAAATGTCAAATTGTTTATTAGCTTGATTCTATTAACTAAAAAACTTAATTATATAAAAAATAATTGAATTTTAAGAAATATTGCCTCACTCAATAGTCATAAGCATATAGCTGTCAAGTAGGTCATTCCAATTCCAATAGACTTAGTATTTTAAGATTGTATGAAAAATATTTTAAATGTGAAAAAAAAATACTGGTTTTTTCTAGATTAGAAAATCGTATCCTTGCTATAAAATATTGTATATTGACTAGGATAAGGGTAGTTAATAGGAAGCTTTGATTTGTAGGGATAAGTTTAGGGTATTTTGTACTTTTTTTGTGTGTATATAACGAGAGTTGTAGTACTCATTTAAAAGATAGATAGTGTTATTTGGATAAGTTGATCCAGATCAAAAACTTTTTTGGGATGGTAAATTTACAAGTTTACCCTTTAGTAAATAAATTTTTTTTGGCTCCTAAACCTATCTTTTGAGGGAAAACAATTTCCTCCATTGACGTTATGGAGGATGAGAGAGAGTAATTATTACTTCATATTTTCAAAATATAAGTTGGAATAATTTATTGTAATAATCAAATTTCTTAAAAAAAAAAAAAAATGTAAACTCTTTCCTATTCTACATCTTGCCTTCATCTTACAGCTTAAAAAAAAAAAAAAAAAAACAGGTAACTTCAGTGGCTCATTACGTAAAGGTGGAAAAAGACGAGATGAATGAAGCTACGAGTTATATGAATAGATTGTGCAATAGATTTTTGTGTTTGCTATGAACATGAAAGAATAGAGTTAACAATCTTGTGGTGTTGGTACAATATAAAGAGGTATAAGCAATGTGATGACTAGCTAGGTAGAAATGCATGGATGTGGATGATGACTGAGGTTGCATGCTTTTTTCTTGTATCAGAACATTTGCAAGGTAATCCCTTATGAAGCCCCTAAAGTGAAATACATTGATTTTCAACATAGTTTCATGCAAAGGTACACTGTTTTATCTCATTTTCGCCAACAAATGAATATGCTAGTTCATATTGGATAAAATAGCTGCTAAGATAAAAAAATGTTTTCTGTAATTGATCTGATGTTTGTGGTGGATAAAATAATAAAAGCTGGATAAAAATGTTTTTTGTATATTGAACTGAATGTTGTGTGGATAAAATAAGAGAGCTGTATAAACAAATGTTTTTCGTATATCAATGTTTTATGTATATTGATCTGAATGTATTTTGTATATTGATCTGAATATTGATAAATAGAGAGAACAGATAAAAAACGTTTCTCTGTATATTATTGTTTTCTATATATTGTAATTGATAAAATAGAGATAGTTGGATAAAAAATGCTAGTTCATATGTGATAAAATAGAGAGAACTGGATAGTAAATGTTCATATCTGAAAACCTAAGAGTTTTCGAAGAAATAAGAGTATCATCGTTATCCAATACTTGTTTTTGTATTTGTAGTGAAGAATAAGTTTTAGGTGTTGAGCGATTATAACTACCACTTTTTACTTTCAAAACAATTAGGATTTCGAGAAGAAAGTTGGGGATGATGGACCAGTAATTCTTTTTTATTGAAGAAATATATTTTGAAATTGGGAAGAGTACTTGATTGAAACAACAATATAAATTTCCCTTTGGACTTATCTCGTATTCCATCTTCTTATTAATAATTTCACTTTGCCTTATTCTTTTTCTTTGAGAAAAAAACCAATTATTGATTAAATTACTAATTCAAGGGTTACACAGTTTAATTAAGTTAATTTATGGTTTAATTTCATTAATAGTTAAATATGATAACAATCTAGTATTGATAGTCCGAGACTTTAAAAAGGCAAGAAAGAAAATTTAAGACCAAAATGGTGGACATGTAAACATTTAGCAGCTAGAGAAGTTGTAATGAAATTGGTTTAATTTAAAGAGAAATCATGAAGAATGTTTTGTAATGTAAGAATTAAGAACTTAGGCAACTATGGAAGTTTGTTTTGTAAGCTAAGTGTTCGTATTTCATTTGGTATGGTTTCGTTCATTTATAAGTGCTCATTTTCATGTTGGAAGGAAAACATTATTCATTATTTGACTTGGAAGGAAATTATGGAATCTGGAGAGCGAAACGCGAAATTGGAAGCAATTTTCTGCAACAATGAAATTGTAAATTCGGATACTAAAGCAAGTACTGATGAAACAGAAGCGACTGTTGAACATGGTCCTCAACTAGGTATGTTTTTCCATAGCTTGGAATCTCACTTCAAGGCATATAAAGAGCATGCAAAATATAAAAGATTTGCTATTGCGAAGAAATCAGAATATAAGGGGAGGAATGGTGATTGAAGATATAAGACTATTAGTTGTGACAAAGGAAAGAAAGCATATTATGAGAAGTCCTCAAAGAGGACAAATTGTCCTGCTAGGTTAAGTGTAATTCTAAGACCTAAGGGAAAGTGGCAGGTTACAAAAATTCAGACAAATCACAATCATGATTTGGATCCATCAATGTGTAGGCTCATGGAAGGGCACATGAATTTGAATCATGAAGTGAGGATAAATCTAGAAGCTAATGATATTGTTGGGATCAGGCCTTGCAAAAGCAATAGGTTGCTTGAAGTCCAATCTGGTGGGCCAGAGAATCTAACACGTTTGCCAAAGGATTGTCGCAATTTCATTGAAGAAAAAGGAGGCCGAGACTCGGTGAAGTTGAAGCTGAGTCAATCCACCAATTATTCTTGAGGATGCAACAAAGGGATAGAGATTTTTTTTTCACTTGATTGATGTTGATAGTGATTCTAGGTTGTCTAATGTCATTTGTGTTCATCCTCGTTCCAAAGTTGCTTATGAGGAGTTCAATGATGTTGGTAGCTTTGACACAACATACTTAGTGAACAGGTAAAAAATGCAATTCATCACATTTGTGGGCATCAACCACCATGGACAGTCCATTCTATTAGGTTGTGCCTTGATTTCACATGAAGACGTTGATACATTTAAATGGTTGTACACTTGTTGGCTGTTAGCAATGGGAGATGTTCATCCAAAAGCCATAATGACTGATCAATGCGAAAGTATCAAGAAAGCCATGTCAGAAGTCATGCCCAATATTGTTCATAGATTTTGCTTGTGGCATATTCTATGTAAGGTCCCACAGAAGTTTAAGAGAGTTGCAGACTATGGTATTGTATTTCGTGAGTTTAAAGCTGTCATACATGATAGCTTAACTGTTGAGATGTTTGAGAGCAATTGGAATGGGTTTGTGGAGAGGCATGGGCTACAAGAAAATGAATGGTTTTTGAGGCTTTGTAGGGAAAGGGTGAATTGGGTGCCAATTTATTTGAACAACAGATTCTGGGTCAGAATGCTATCAACTCAAAGGAGTGAGGGCATGCATGCATATTTTGATGGGTACATGAATTCGATGAGCACTCTTAACCAATTTGTGGATTAGTACAAGATTGCTATGCGCGATAAGATAGAGTTTTATGCTGGTTTTAGAAGTAAAGATATAGTGATTAAGTGCATTTCTGAATTTGAATGGGAGAGGAAGTTTCAACGAGCATTCACAAACGAAATGTTCAAGGTTGTCCAGAACGAGCTAAGGTACATGTTGTACTGCAATGTAACTCCACATATCGATGAGGAAGTGTAGGAAGATGGTGTTGAGAAGTTCAAGGTGACGGAGAGATGTATAGTGAATGACTAGTATCACAAGGAGTTCACTTATGAAGTTGAGTATACAGAAGATGGACAACTATTGAGGAGTAACTGCAGGTTTGTATATATATATATATATTTTTTTTTTTTTCAGAAGTATTACGTGTGATAATCCCCGTTTTACTTTCTTTCAAAATTTTCAAAGTCTTTTACGTGTGATATAGGTTTGAATTATGAATTTATGGTACATATTTAATAGTCTAACATTAATGAAATGTTATTGACACGAGTAATATATTGTAGTTACCTGAGTATATGGTGAATGTTACTAATATTACGTGTGATATCGGTTGGAACCTGAATATTCTATAATTTACTGAAATTACATATTATAAATTAAGCTTTTGACAATTTGGTTTCATTGTAGTTATTAGAAACAGGAAATTAATTTGGTTTACGGTTCTCTTGCAATATTGGTTTCATTGTGTTTGGTTTCATTCAGACAAGTAAAATTTTAATGTCTGATTTTTCTTTCCTTTTCAAATTTTAATGTAATTGCAGGAAATTTGAATCAAAGGGAATCCTCTGTTGCCATATTTTTAAGATATTGTATGTGAAAGACATTAAATGATCAATGAGCATTATCTGATAAGGAGGTATCGATGACATAGCTATATGTTTTTCAAAGGAGGGCATCTGCATATGACATAAGAGTATGAAACGTATAAGAGGATGGATAAGAAATTTCAAAGAGCGCATCATTGTTGACTTGACAACAAGAACAAGTTGGAGTACCTGGACAAGAGGTTAGAAGACGTGAAGGCAGAATTGTTGAATTGGCATGATGGGATGAGTATGCAAGAAGAGAACTTAGATGACGTTATTGTGAGGCAACTAGATGATGACAATAGGGGAAAAAATACAACTGTCTTTGATCCATTTGTGACTCGGAGTCGTGACGTCCATGGAGTAATCAATACAAATCACGACACAAACTCCGCCAAAATAATGTAGCCAGGAATCAACAAGCATGTTTTCCAAGTCAGGTACAATCATTGTATGATATTGTTTACTGTCATTGACACCACATTTTAACTTGACTCGGATTTTAAAAACATTTTGGTTTGCTTTTTAGGTTGAACAACAGAGTGCATGTAACGAGCATGCGACTATCAATGAAAATGTACGTTATTTTGATATGAACATAAGTCAAGACATTTATATGTCAAATGTTAACGAGGGTTTTAGGAGTGGCAAAATGAGTGAAAGGATAGGGAATGTAGACAGTGATATTAATCAGACAATGAATATCACTCAAGAGTTATCCGATATTGATAAGAGAAATTGGATCAGATTATAGTAGTGACAAAGGTTTTAGGGTGGATTTTTTTGTTTGAATGATTTGGGTCAAATTATTTGATGTTCCTGATTGTTATGAGTTGTGGGTATTATTTAGTTATTGATAAGTGGCTTAGTAATTTTATTTATTATTATTATTATTTTTTTGTAAAAACACAATTGTTTGTTACTAATTTGGTTGATGTTATTATGATTTAGGGTTTAGCCACTTAACAGTAACATTTTAATATAATTAAACGTTTAGTTGGTTACAGATTGCATGGCTTCTAGTAGAAAAAAACAACAATGACAACTTTAATTCAAAAAAAAGTCTTCCCTAAACCATGCAATATTGTTTGTTGGAAACATGTCTGCATGCTCTCTCTTCTTCAAGGTTGTTTTCTCTCGATTAAGTTTAAGTTATTTTTGGAAGTGTATTTTGTTTTGTATTGTGATTATTCGAAGGATAGACTTTCAAGTAATACATTATAAACCATTGTCGCCACCCCTGCCACTGCCATTGCCATTGCCATCGCCACCAAATCACTGTCGCCATCCAACCACTGCTACCACCATCACACAATCACTATTTTCATTCAACCAAATTAATAAAATTTTAGGAAAATCATGTTCTTCAATGAATACCTAGACTCCAACCAGCCTCACGCACCACAAAAAAACTTATAATACCTTTTAGGTATAATGATAGCAATATCCATATACCCCATATCAATTGTCAAAACACACCTGCAATAGTTGCATTTGCCAAATCTTATCACCAGAAGATTAAACATTACAAATAAATCTTCTTACTGTAGCATCAGAAATTAAAAACATTTTGGATGTCCCAATAAGAAACCAAAAAAACAAAAAAAACAAAAAAAAAAAAAAAATAAATAATAATTTATGGTAGCTCATTATAAACATAAAAATTAAGTAGTACATTGATTTCTATTTCATTTTCATTATAAACAAACAGAAACTAATTAAAATGAAATATAAAATCAAAGTAAATGAAGATAAGATATACATGACTTGGTTGAAGCAAAAATAAAATCAAACACGCATGATCATGGAAACAAACACATACATCGATTTTATTCAAGGTAAGCATAACATCAACACAAGCAAAAACGATAAGGAACACATATTAAAACATGATGACAAAACTGCTCCCTAATCCCACAACATCAAGTTCATTTAGTTAATTGTATTCTCAACATTCTTCCCAATATTATTGTCTTTAGTACGTTGAGCATTGTTTACATCCAAAAAAATGTTGTAGGAGGCCATAAGGGGAAAGTCATTGAGCAACGCTTCTTAAAAAACAAGACTTTCAAAGTCCTCACCGAGCCTGTGAATTAGCTCTTTAATCTTGTTTTTCAAATCTTGGAGTTGCAACCTTATGCTCTTGTATATGGGTTCCATAGCTGTTGGGCTTGCAAGCATTGAGTTGCGTCTGTTAGATGTGCTAGCCATGGGAGATGTAAGAAGCAAATCAAAACAAGAAAGAAATTTGAAAGATTGTTAAAAATGTCACGGTTTTATAATGCACATGAGGTTGCCTTCAAACTTTTCATTAAATATTGTGTTGGTCAATGTATTAATTGAGGGAGAAGTGCCTAATGTAAACTTGATTTGGTACACAGCAAAGTATTAATTGGGAGGGTGGTGGTCAACATATTAATTGAGAGTTTAATGCCCAATTTAACATTGCTTTGGAGCAAAACAACATATGAATTTTGCATTGAAAGAGGTTTTTAACTTACTGCAACTTCGTTTGAAGGTGGAAATCGGTTTGTATCTTCTTCCATTGATCTTAGAGGTATTTACAGAAACCTCCTCTAGGCATTGAGTTGCGTCTGTTAGATGTGCTAGCCATGGGAGATGTAAGAAGCAAATCAAAACAAGAAAGAAATTTGAGAGATTGTTAAGAATGTCATGGTTTTATAATGCACATGAGGTTTTCTTCAAACTTTTCATTAAATATTGTGTTGGTCAACGTATTAATTGAGCGAGAAGTGCCCAATGTAAACTTGATTTGGAACACAACAAAGTATTAATTGGGAGGGTGATGGTCAACATATTAATTAAGAGTTTAATGCCCAATTTAACACTGCTTTGGAACACAGCAACATATGAATTTCGCATTGAAATATATATATATATATATATATATACACACACACTGCCATATGTGGATGCAAAAAATCTACAGTTATAGAAAAAGTGTCTGATCTCGTGAGGTTGAGGCCACTAGCAATCCGCTGCACCTGTACACAAAGCAAACAAGCGTGAAGCGAAAAAGAAACACCTAGGGAGGTGTTTGCCATTTGTCGTAGGCACTCCGACGCTCAAGTTAGCAAGGCTGAATGAGGCTAATTTAGTCAAGGTTAAGGGAAGGAAGGGTTACCATAAATTTAGTCAGAGATTAGAACCACGACATGGGTGTATAGCTCTTAGGAGTAAGAGCTTGGGTGCCAGTAGGTTGTAGTGAGATTGAATGCCTAAACAGAGGAGTGAGACTTGTTTATATAGTAGTTGTAGGATCTCCGTTTCCTAGTAGGACTTTGAATCCATGATGGTAGAACTCTAGTGAATTGGAAAGATCCAGGTTCACTTGCCTAATTAGTAGTAAGAGTCTTAGTTCATCTAAGATACGAAATCTTGGACGAATTAGGATAGGTCCCAAATATGAAGAGTTCTAATTTCCTTAGTTTGGAAGGCTTGGCCTTTGCTGGGCT